AGCTGATGGTTTCTGACTCTCTATCCCTCTCCCTTCCTTTCTGTAAAAAAAAAAAAAAAAAAAAAAAAAAAAAAAAAAAAATCAATGAAAATAGATTATTTTTTTTTATAAAACACACACAAAAAAAGTGTTTCAATTACCAAAGCATAAACCCAGACCTCCTGTTTTCTCACTTCTCAAAGTCCTTATTAAAATCTGTCAGTCAATGAAGACATTTTTGAAAGGAATTAGATCTTTCTGAAAGCTGATATTTAACTCCCTGGACCTACAATTCACGCTGCATTAAAAAAACAAGAGAAATATTTAGCCATTAACAATGGAAAACTCTGGACACCAATCTTCAACGTCTGTCATGAAAACAGAAATGAGATTCACACTGAAGTGAGCCAAGTACTCCGCCCAGTAAGAGCCAGATCCCAGGCCGCTGGCTCCCACACCCTGAGGGCCATTCCCTCTCCAGCCCCTCCCAGGACCATGGGGGAGGTCCCTAATTCAAGATTGCCGGGAACCAATGCCAGCACGTGATAACTACAAGAGTTTTACCAAAAGGTTGTGATACCATACCCTTCCCTTCGAAGAGTATTAGCTCCACCTTGCCTTAGGATAAATCGTGTTAATGAAAGCAGGGTCCTGAGTGAAGGAGGGAAGTCTTTAGCTCCCTTAGCTGAAGCTCCTTTGACCCCCTATGCCTTCCAAAATTATCTTTTGTCCTTCTATTCTTTTCTCCAGAATACTGAGCCCTTGGTAAGGCTGGGCCAGAACCCCGCACACAATCCAGCAAAAGAGAGTAACACTGCTCCTCAGAGTAGAGGTTTCCATTCTCTCTCTCACTTCCAACCCACCAGGCTGGGACCTCACAGAATGAACCCAATGAACTGGACAGTAAGCAGAAGACGGAAGGGGGGGTGAGGGGGGCCCCTGTGTTTATGAGCCTGTAACACAAAGCAGTAACAGGGAGGGGGCCTCCCCCAGCCAGAGGCCCCACTCATGTCCTGTCTGAGTGAGCATGGGTCTTGCCCTGCAATCCCAAAGGTCAGGGGTCAGGGCGCATTCCTCAGCCGGGCAGCAGCGTTCGGGGATGCACAGAGCATTTCTCTCCCTTCCCCCACCCGGGTGAGGGACAGCAAACCCCACACACAGGCCTCCCTCCACTCGAGGCACGTTTGCTGGGACGGGGAGAGGGCTGGAAGCCACCGGGAACCTTTCCCACTGGCTCTGCCCGGATCCTTTCCCAGCCACACGCCTGGCTGCAGCTGGAGCTCACCAGCAAGAGGGCAGAACCGGCTGCAGCTGGAGCTCCCCAGCATGAGGGCAGGCCCAGCACATTCTCTGATTGTCCGGACAGGACCCAGGAGGACTGTCCATCTGGCCCAGAGCGGAGGGAGTCGGTGGTGGTGGGACATACACGCTCTCCAGACGGCCATCATAAGGCACCAGTTTCGAGACGTCACTCACCTCATTGGTGGCATGTACACAGCAAAGCGCAGAGAACACTTAAATTTCAAATTTTTGGAAATTAGGACCTAATGCAATGTAAAGAGTTAGAATTACTGTAATTGCATCTCCTGGCAAAAATGGAGTGCTTGCTGGGTAAAGGCTGGAAAGCTATGCTAAAGCTTCAGCGCCCTGCCTCCTCAGAGAAGGAAGATTCAGGCTCTCTTTAGGCACACACCTTCCACTTGGTGACACAAATTCACACTTCCGGTTTGATGAACAGAGGGCCACCCAAGGAAACAAGGGGTACCGTATGCCCGGCTGCTGGCTGTGCAGCTCGGCAGGGAAGGTCACTGCAGATGGGGGTCTACGTGGACACGTTTCTCCTCTGCACGTGCTTCTAGGTCCTGAGCCTGCACGTAAGCGTCTTCTCGAGAAGGCCCTCTCCCTTGTTCAGCTCAGCGAGCTGTTCCCTGGAGACCAGAAGCAGAGACCCCGTGGTTTCAGGAACTAGACACACTTGTCCTTCTTCTTGACCAACAGGCGAGGCTAGGAAAGGGAACGGGTCAGCTCTCGCTGCCGCAAAATGGGGGAGGACCTGTGACCAATGCACACAGACCGCCCCCCCTTCCCCACCCAGTGCATCTGACACTGAGGCTCAGCAGGAGGACACTTTGGAAGCAATGTCAATGTCCAGTCACCGGGCTGTGCACCTGGAACTAGCGTGTACCCCAACTCTAATTTTAAAAATAAACGAAGAAACTGAGTACCTCAGGCTTTGGGGAAACTACCTGGGGCTGGATTTCGGCATTCCCGTGGGACTGTCCTCTGGGGGCCACAAAGCCAGGCCAAATCCTGCAGGCAGGCCCCTGTGGCTACTGTGTAAATTGCATTTGTGCAAATTGCAAGAAAGCATGCAGGGAGACAGATCCTAGAAGATGCCTCCTCAGACAGATGCGGTTTAAAAGGCATCCCATCTAGGCAGACAAACTACAAAAAGGATGCTCCACGTGGGGCCATGGGGCCTTTTCCCCCTGAGCCAGGACTTGGTTCCGACTGGCAGACACCAGCCCAGCCATGACCTGTTTGATGAGGACCACTGTAGGTAGGCATGGTGAATTATGGCACGTGAGCAGATGGACATGACGCCAGTCAGCTTGTTCACAGAAAGGAAAGAAACTCACTCGGTGCCTTTTTCATAAACATCCATTAATTGTCCAATTATGTGTGAAAGGCTCCAAAGTAAACCCTGTGGATTGGGTCTTCTGGCAAAAGCGTTCAATAATTTGGATCTAAAAATTTTCCATCGTCTTGGCCACCAGCACATAATTCCATTAGTTAATATTCACTCCTTTGTGCTCCTGTGCGTACTGTGAGTCTGAAATCTGAATCTGAAAGTGCCATGTGCTGGTTCTCACTGCTAGCTGGAAAATGTCCTGTGAGAAATGCCATGTGCATGGGATTCATCCCTTTTCCCTCCGAGGCTCTAGAACCATCTCCTTGGGAAGGATAGAGGACCTCTCAGTTCCACCAGGAAGCCTACGCCAGTCTCATGGGCAGGACTGAGAGAAACCTACTATGTTCATGGATCGGAAGATTATATACAACAAATGTCAATCCCTACCCCCGCTCCAATTAATATCTAAGTTGAGTGCAATTCCTATCAAAATCCCAGCAGGATTTTTGTAGCCAGATTATTCTAAAATTTATATGGAAAGGCAAAGGAACTAGCATTACTGACACAGTTTTGGAAGAAGAGTAAAATGGGAGGCATCAGTCTGAGTTTAAGGCTAATTGTATAGCTACTGGAATGGAGATCCTATTGGTGGAGTAAAACATAAAACTCAGAAACAGCAGAAGGAATCCTAAAAAGGAAGATAGCCTTTTTAAAAAAATGGTGCTGGAGCAATTGAATACCCACAGGCTAAAAGAAAAGAAGGATGGAAGGGAGGGAGGGAAGGAAGGATAGAGGGAGGGAATGAATCCCTACCTAAGTCTCAAACCCTATATAAAAATTAACTCAAATGGATCATAAACTTCAGTATAAAAAGTAAGCCTGAGGAGGGCTGGGGCAGGAGGAAACGGGTGTGGCCATAAAAGAATCACGTGAGGGATTGTGATGGAAATGATGGGCATCTTGATTGGAGAGTGATTTTGCAAGGTGTTACCCTGGGGTGGGGAGGTGGGAAAGGGTCCTGGGATCCCTTCCTTGTAATTCTGGCGTCTGCATGTGAATCTACAACCACTTCAGATCAAACATTTAACTTAAAGCAAACACACACTAAGAATGATAAGGGACTTTCACTACTGAGCTCAAAACACAAAGGAAGCCTCAGACTGCCCGGAGGGAAGGGAAAGGAGAGGTGAGTGGGCGCTGAGGCTGCGTATCCTGGAGAGAGCCGTGCTCCTTTCCTCAGATCAGGGGTCAGGACTGAGTTCCCAGCAGCAGCTGGAATGGAGGCTGAGTTTAGGATGGAGCCAGGAGCCATATTTACTGTAATAAAGCATGAGCGAGAAGACTGCCCCTGACTGTGAACAGAAACTACAGATATTTTTTCCAGCCTCTGATATACAAGCCCTTGGTGAAGGGGAAGCCCCATAAGAAGTCTAAACCCCAATCCCATGTCACACAAAAGTGTGAAGTATAACATTTTAAACTATCCTCCAAGTAAAAAAATCTAAACTGAAATGCCAACAATAAACTAACCTAGAACAAACCCTATAGGGCCCCTGGTAACAGCCAATCCAAAGCCACCCGCTGAGATGCTCGCAGGTCACAACTCCCACTGAGGATGACGCCGAGCCTAATTGATTAAAGAACACGGATTCTCCTCCAAAGAACTGAGACTGGAACAAATCAGCTAACCTGTTCAAAAGAAATGAATTCTTCCCTAGCTGGTGTGGCTCAGTGGATTGGGCATCATCCTGTGTACCAAAAGTGTTGCTGGTTCAAGTCCCAGTCAGGGCACATGCTTGGGTTGTGGGGTCTATCCATTGAGCCAAACCAGTTTCGGCTTGGTGCCTTTTTTAGAAACATCCATTGATTCTCCAATTATGTGTTAAAGGCTCCAGAGTAATCCCAGTAGGCTGGTTCTTCCGGCAAAAATCACTCCATGATTTGAATCTAAAATTTTCCATCATCTTGGCTACTACCACATAATTCCATTAATTAACATTTGCCTCTTTGAGCTCCTAAATTCAGTATGAATCTGGACATGCCCACATGATGGTTCTCCCAGCTTGCAAGGGCCATTTGCAATGGGAACGGTCCCATTGCTCTGCTCCCAAGCCTGGGGGCCATTGAGCACAGTGGTCTCAATCCTGGCTGCAGGCTGAAATCACTTGGTACCTGAGGGCCCTTCCTCTCCATCCCCCAGATCTACTGGCTTTTAACGTTATGCACCTTCTCCTTAACACACTAGAGGCAGGATCATGCACATCTTAGGTGTTCATTTCACATGTGTTGGCCACATCTGTGAACCCGTCGATTGTGGGCTGTGAGTGTGCAGGTCACGGTGCTGGGGATTGGGGGACGGAGGAGGGAGGTGACGGAGCCAGGCACTCACCAGTCCATGGCAGGAACTCAGGGCTGCAGTCCCGATCCTGGTGCCCCGCTGAAGGACTGTGCCCCGGAGATGGCAGGGGGGGCCGGAGGAAGCCACCATCTGCACGTGGGACAGGTTCCCGTACCTCCTCTCCACGATGTAGCTTCTGGAGAGCAACTCCTGGTTGACCGTCAAGTTAAACATCAGGTCCTGCTCCTCATGGGAGATCCTGTAGTACACCCAGTCCTCGGGGCGCTCCACGTCCCTCTTCCTCCTGCCGCTGGCGAAGGGTGGGTGCAAGCCATAGGACAGGAAATGCCCTTGAGCGTCCACTTGCACGGGTGCCACCACGTGGTACTCTGGCAGCGCTTTGACGAAATGCTCTGGGGGGAAAGAAGGAGACAGAATAAAACAGGGATCCCTGCTGGCTCTGTGGCAAGGCCCATGCTCTCCCTCTGGAACCTGGAATTTAGCTTGTTGATTGCAAGACCCCACTGTTGACTTGAAGTCTCGAGATCCTTCCCACCCACCACACAAATACAGTCACATGAAGTTCCCTGAACAACCCACACGGGGCTCCCTCCGCGATAGCTCTGGCTGGCAGATGTCTCACCAGAGACAAACTAAGGCGAGCATGAGGAATACTTTTAGGAGGAAGGCACGATCAGTATGACGAACGTGAGCATTTCAAGTCTAGGGTTCATTAACACAAACGGAGGTACCTCACTGTCCAGAGAGCAGTTTACGCACCTTGGGAAGGTCCTGGTAAGTCAGGTTGAAGAACAAAACGCAAAAACACAGCAACGTCACATACACTCTGACGACCCCACGCCTGTTACGGCGCAAGTGGTCCATAATGAGCTCACAGGATCTTGGTGTTTCTTTTTTATTTTTTAAAGATACACCAAATGAAAGGGTAAGTGAATCTATGAGGATCCGAGGCATGCGTGCAATGAAAGCTGCCACGTTCACAGTGCGATGCAGGACCACTCCCTCTTCCCACCGCAGGAGCAGGTGCACCTGATTTCCACTCACAGACCCGCCACTGCCTCCTCATCTGGATGTTGGAGAATAACGAGGAATCTATTCGGGAGTCATTATCACTATGGATTACAGACTACTTAAAGCAAACCACTAGCAGAAAGATAAACTACTATTTTGCTTGAGGTAAAAAATAGATAAAAAGAAAAGAGTCAGGAAGGAAGGGGAGGGGGGAGCGGTCTCCCTCCTGGCCTCCTCGCCGCTGTTCTTGCACTTTCTTATGTTACTTTGTTTATGTCATTTACCCAAGTACTTACTATGTTGTTCACATTCCCTATCAATATCCCATTTACTCCTGTTTATGCTTTCAATTCCCAACTCCAGTCCTCCCCCTTCTTTCTCCTGACATCCTTGGTCAAAGTTCTGTCTGCCTCCTCTCAGCCCCCACGTCCTTACTTTCTGTAGCTCCCAGAATAGCCTCTGTTCACAGTGCCTGTTGTTTACCCCCCGCCCCCTGAGGGAGCAGTGGACACAGGGGAGGCTGGTAAATTAGAAAACTGGACCTGCCGAGGTGCCATGATGCAAGCAAGACTCTTCCCCAGACCACGGCCTTCAAACACTCTGCAGAGAGGTGCACTCCACCTGGGATTAAACCCGGGACAGAGCACAGCGTTCCCTCTTAGGTGCTAACAAACTGCCTCAGTTTTCAGCTGTAAAACCTCCAGACCCACTGCTCCCAACAGCAGCTAGGAACAGCAGGCCACGTGGTGACACGGGCAGACCTTCCAAGCAGCGGTCCATGAAACATACGAGGCACAACGAGTTAATACCGAGCCATTTACATTCATGGAAACTATGTGCACACAGAAACAACACTGGAACGTTTGCCAGGGCATAAGCAAACAAAAAAATACATGTGGAATCCATTAAACGGTTTTCTAGAGGAAACGTGGAAGTGGGGAATGGGGGAAATGCACAGATAAATAAAGCAGGAAAGGCGTTTTGCACAGATTAGTGATGCTGCCACGCCAAGAACTAGGGGTCAAACTGACTCAGTCCTCTGCCCCGCCCACTCCCCAGGGATTTCTGGCTCTTTAGCAGCTATCAGAGCTTCCCACCCCTCCGTGTTCCAGCTCCGGAGAGGAAGGGCCAGGTTGGGCAGGGTGATGCAGGCGGCTCCTGTGGGTAAGTGTCCTGTGTTTCTGGTCTCTTCTGCTGCTTGTAGTACAGTCTCTGGCTCCCCCAGAGTTGGAGCAGTGTGGGGGAGGGGTGGCAGGAGAGTATCAGTCAGCTGCGTTTACATCACCGTGTGGCGGTCCCCTGTCTGTGGCCAATGTCCAGATGCTGACCACTCTCTCAGGAGCGGGCCTTGTGTCCTTTAAGATACAAAATGCTAGTCTCTGAAGGCAAACTCAAAATATTAAACACAATTTTTAAAAGTATGAATGAAAAACTAAAGCACCTGTTTCCCAAAGAATAAAAGAGCAAACCAATGTACAGCTTTTGACCAAGTGGCCTTTAGCCTAATGGGTTTTTTAAACAGCCAGCATACAGAGGCTGCTCAATAATATAATGATGATTACTGTGGCCATTTAATGAGCACTTGCTATGAGCCAGGTACAGTAAGTCTCTTCTCAGTCAGTACTCATAATAACCCTTTGATATATTAATAGAGTCTTATCCCCATATCATAAAGAATCTGAATGTCGAAACCGGTTTGGCTCAGTGGATAGCATATTGGCCTGCGGACTGAAAGGTCCCATGTTTGATTCCGGTCAAGGGCATGTATCTTGATTGTGGGCACATCCCCAGTGGGGGGTGTGCAGGAGGCAGTTAGCTGATCGATGTTTCTAACTCTCTATCCCTCTCCCTTCCTCTCTGTAAAAAATCAATAAAATATATTTTAGAAAAAAGAAACGGAGTCTAAGGGAGAACACAGGGCCAATATGCAACAGAAGTTGGATTAAAACCATGTACTTCCCATTTCAAAATCATGTTCTTGCCACAGTACGTCATGTACATATCTGCAGCTGCACTTGGCAGAGATTATTAGAGAGGAGAGGTAATAGTGTGGCCCCCAGCGATGATCATGTAACAAGCAAAGAACTGCTTGACTTCTTTAAGCGGCCTCTATTTGCTCAGCAATAAATGGAACTAGCAGTTGCCTCTACTGGGCAGAGTAATGGGAGGTAAGACTGGCCTTGCCTCTTGACATTACTGCAAAGGAGGCAGCAAAGCCACGTCAGCCCACAGGTCTGGATGGAAGCAGGAGGCCATGAGCGGAGTCTGGCTAATGTGGGCGGCCCCGCTGCAGCTGCCTGGGGTTTGCCCTCGACATGCTAACAGTGTCTCCCTCCTCGGTGGTGTGCTCATCCAGTGCACTCACACAGCAAACAGGTTTAGAACAGTGCCTGAAAGGAGCACTCACCAGCTCTTATTGGTATTAAAGACACTGGTTGGCAGTCACTGGTTTGTAAAGTTAGGGAGCTATACCCTGGCCAACAAAAAGCAGGTACAGAGGGAATGCGAGAGGGGTTGATATCAGAAACAGTCACAGCTCCTAACTCTGACCATTCCTGTGGTCACGCACAGCATTAAGACACTGTCTAATGCTCACAGTTAATTCTACGGGGGAGGTATCATTAATGGTGTCCGTTCTCTCCACTTTAAAACTAATAACACGGGTGATGATTTGAGCTGGTGAGCTGACTCCAGAGCCCACCCTCCGACTGAAGCCCGAGGCTCTGAGAAGGCCCCCCGCTGAGCCCCAGCGGGGAGCTGAGGGGAGGCTAAGACGCACCCTGAGGACGTCACGGCCCACACTGGGGTTAGGAAAATAAATTCCGAGCCCTGAACACTCTGACCTGCCGGGTTTACAATTCAGTTTGAAACCATCAGTTCTGATGCTTGATGAGAAGCTGTGAGTGAATCCTGTTGGCACTTTTGAAAATAGAAAACGCCAAGTGGTCCCCTCGCCTCCGTTAGAAAGGAAGGGGCGAGGGGAGAATGTGCACCTGCCGGTTTTTGTAAGTGTTAGTTAAATCTGTGGTTATTCTTCGTATTTATTTCTATCTTAGAGAGCAACTGAATTTCCAAGAGTCCTTACTGGAAAGGGCAATGGCATTCCTGTGAGGGAAGTTTATTTTCGTAATTCTCCTCCACAGATGGCTATCAGCTTTCCATTGCATCTTTACCCCAGAAAACCACGCATGAGGAAATGTGAAGAATTCCGTTGGTCCCTTCACAGCTGTAACATACAGAAGGGTGGATCTGCTCACCAGCCCTGTGATTAACCTGCAGAGCATCCTTGCTTGTTATTGTTAACATGCAAAATACCAAAACGGTGAGGTCTCTCCCTACACTAAGAAAATGTCTGAAATGGGAATTTTTAGAGGTGAGAAAGACAGATTTAGGAAATTTTAGAAATGAGGGGACTATGGAGGAAGCACAGGGCTGCAGAGCAGCAGGTTTATTTCCATAGACTAGGGAGCTGAAAAGCTGCAACAGGTCTATTTCCACAGACTGAGGGAGCTGGGAACAGCCAAAGGTCTCTATTTACAAAATAAAAGGAAGGAAGCCCCTCATATGGAAGGAGAAGAAGAAAGCCCAGAGGGATAGGAAAACAATAAGGAAAGAGGGGGAAGAACCTCACATGTCCCATGTGAGGTTGAACTTTGAGCCCAGAAGTTACTATAGTAACCAGTGTAATGAAATAGTGACCAATCAGAGGGGCTATCAAGGCACTGGGAACTGCAGCCTTTATAAGCCACAGCGAAAAGGAATTCAGTGGGATCCTTTCCCTTCCCCACAGGGGAGTCTGTATTTGCCCTATCTAATAAAGAGGAAATATGCTAATTGACCCTCACTCCATCGCAAAGTTGGCAGCACCCACAGCCAACAAGGAGGGATTATGCTAATTAACTGTCACACCCTCCAAGATGGTGGTGCCCACAGCCACAAGATGGCGGTATCCAGTCTCCTCATTCCTGACAGAGGCACACAGCAAGGCCGGGCCCGCCTGCAGAGCCTCCCAGTCCTCTCAGCCCCGCATCCGCCCAAGGCCACCCAAGGCTCAGGTAACCAGGGCTGGTGGAGGCTTGCACTGCCAGCAGTGGCAGCGAGAGGTGTGATGGGGCATTGCCTTCCTCTGATGGCCAGGTGCCACCTGCCCCTGAGGGCTCCCGGACTGTGAGAAAGGACAGGCTGGGCTGAGGCCTCCTTCAGTGCATGAGTTTTCATTCACCGGGTCTCTAGTTCTTCAATAGATTTCCACCTTTGCTAGACCACCTTCTGTCTGTGGATTCATTCTTAGACTCCAGCGGAGAAAGAATCGGGGACATCCTGCCCAGTCCAAAAAATTCTGCTTCAATGTCCAAAATCACTTTCCCCATGCAGAATTTATTTTTTGCCAATGTTATGAGTGCATGATCTTAACATTTGTGTCAAAACATGGCAATGCTCCCAGCATTCCCACACATGTGTGTGCAGCCCAGAGCATGTCTCTATCATGGGGTCAAGTGCTTGCCCTGATGACTTCATGGAGCTCAGGAGAAAAAGAGGCCACAGAAGTGGCTCAGGACTTGTAATCAGTCCAGGGAACAGCAGACCCATGGGGCCGGCATTGAGCAAGGGGAGTATTTCCGGTCGTTCTGGTCCTTGGTGGGGCCCCATGGCCGTCACTGCACAGCTGAGCCATGCGGAAAGTCTACTGAGCAGTTTGCCAATCTGCCTAGTTCTAGCCCAGGGAAGGGCTGGACTGATCTCTATACTCCTTCCTCCCTCTAAAATCCTGCCTCTGCCCGGCCCTTCACCCAGAAAGAACCTTACCAGCTACCCAAGGTCTGAGTGAGTGTCCAGCTGTGGGACTCTTCACCCCTTTGGTGAAACAACAATGGGCAGGTGCTCCATGGATACATGGATACATATTGACTAACGGACCCACCTAGACCGCCCATTCCTCACCTGTAAAAACAAGAAGGATGGGAGAGTGATATCTAAAGTAATGTGCAGCCAAAACCAGTTTAGCTCAGTGGGTAGAGCATCGGCCTGCGGACTGAAGGGTCCCAGGTTCGTTTCCCGTCAAGGGCATGTACCTTGGTTGCGAGCATATCCCCAGTGGGAGGTGTGCAGAAGGCAGCTAATCGATGATTCTCTCTCATCGATGTTTCTAACTCTCTCTCCCTCTCCCTTCCTCTCTGTAAAAAATCAATAAAATACATTTTAAAAATAATAATAAAGTAATGTGCAAGTTTCAATGTTCAGAATGTGGGTGCGATTCAACATTATCCTCAGAGCTCCGTGGCCAGGGGAGACAGGCTAACGGTGAAGCAGGAGGCAGCTCACTGGAGAGCAACCCCAGGCCTCCCTCCTCCCAGGAAGCGCGGCATGTCCAAACGGAGCTCCGCTCAGAAGCATCTCCTCCGTGTGAATGAGGGTTAAGGACAACTATGTAGGGGAAGAGGCTTTAAAATCCGAAATTATTTTTAACACCTAAAATACGCACACATCGCTAATAGGCTCAGAGCACTTTACACCTGCTCCCGTGTCACACACTCTCCGCGCAAACCTCAGGGTGCCAGGGCGGACCCTCTCCCACGGTCAGGGAGAGAAGCTTGGGAGAGAAGCGAGGCCCTGGGCCCATACCCAGTGGCACGCCCTGGAAGGCGATGCCAGCGGGCAGTGCAGAAAGCCAGCCGGGAGAATGCCTGTCTCAGAAGCCAGCCATCTCCCAACTCGAAAAAACCCCAGGCTTTGTTTGTGCTGCCACCGAGGAGACTCCTCACAAAGGCACTGCTTTGCAAAGAACAACAAACGCTGCTCTTTCAAACCGGGCTGGGCGATGGTATCCGACCGTTTACACAGGCGGTGCTGGCGGCCAGACATCTGAGCGGGCGCTGGGCCCAGCGGCCAAGGAGAGCACGGGGGCCGCCCTGCGGCTCCAGGCCGGCCTATCCGACCCGCAGCAGGGGAGCTCTCCGCAGCTTCAGACTCTCCATGTGGGCAGAACCTGCGGGGAAGCCCTCAGAAGGGGGGGTGGAGAGGGGTGCCCCCAGGCGATCTTGGGACCAGAGGGGCTCAGGAAGCTGTGGAATCTCCCAGGTCTCGAGCACAGTGAGCTGGCACAGGGCTTCGGGGATGCTAGCCCAGGGCTCTGGGCTGTGCCCACCTGTGTGCGCTGTGCCCGCATGTGTGCGCCACCCCTGCATGTGTGCACTGTGCCTGCATGTGTGCGCTGTGCCCGCCGGTGTGCGCTGTCCCTGCATGTGTGTGCTGTGCCCACATGTGTGCGCTGTGCTCACCTGTTTGCGCTGTCCCTGCCTGTATGTGCTGTGCCCACATGTTCGTGTAGTCCCCATATGTGTGTGCTGTGCCCGCCTGTGTGCGCTGTCCCTGCATGTGTGTGCTGTGCCCACATGTTCGTGTAGTCCCCATATGTGTGTGCTGTGCCTAGCACAGCAGTTGGGCAATGCTGCTGGACGGTAGGAGGGTAGCCCCCAGTCAGGCTCCCTGGGTTCAGACCTCCCTCCACCACTCACTAGGCCAGTGGTCGGCAAACTCATGAGTCCACAGAGCCAAATATCAACAGGACAACGATTGACATTTCTTCTGAGAGCCAAATTTTTTAAACTTAAACTTCTTCTAACACCACTACTTCAACATAGACTCGCCCAGGCCGTGGTATTGTGTGGAAGTGGCCAAAGAGCCGCATGGCTAGTGAGCCGCAGTTTGCCGACCACGGAGCTAGGCCCACAAGCTCTCCAAGCTTCAGGTGCCTGTGAAATGGAGCCAGTGCCCATGGTCCCTGCACCAGGGGGCGGGGTGGGCAGGCAGGGGACTGACTCCGGGTGCCCTAGCCAGGCTGGTGCCCAGAACCCTGTACTCGGTCCTCCCAGCACCCTCTGCTGTTCTCCCAACCACCAGGAACTCCCCGCCAGACAGGAGAGTGTCCCCGCCCCGCAGGTCCAAGGCGCCAACAGAGGCAACAGGACCAGCCTTCCCGGGTGTGAGGTCAAAGAGGCCAGAAAGAATGAAGGATGGTAACAACCAGGGATGGTCTGTCCCAGCTGCGCCTCTGGGACCCTGTGACCGGGAAGGTGGGGCCAGCACGGTGGGCCCTGGAGCGCCAGGTTTCCCAGGAGGACTGTTATTTTTAAAGCTCAGCCCCAGTCTTTCCAGGAAACCAAAACACAGCGCCTCCGCAGCGGGGGGCGGGATCGCACTGCGGCCGCTCCGGAGTGTAAAGCGATGCCTGCCTGGCCGGCTGCAACTTTTACCAAAAGTCACTCTCCACGCTCAGAGTCTGCAAACCGGGGCGCTGGAGGGGACACAAAGGAGAGGGGTGCAGGGCTGCCCGTCACCCCGGAGGCCTGGCCGCGGCAGCACCGCGCACAGAGGCGGGGACCCTCGCCTTTGGGGAGCAAGAAGGATCCTCCCCGAAACGCTGCCGCCCCAGAGCCCCCGTCCCTGCCTCCGCTCGGGTTTCCTTTCAGCTCAGCGGAGCTCGGCGCGTGGGGGAAGGAAAGGGGGCCACCCAGCCCGCACCCAGGCCGCGATCCCCGCCCCAGGTCCCCGGGAGAGAGGGAGGGCACCCACCTTGCCTGCGGTCGCGGAAGCGCACCTGGCCGGGCACCTGGCCGGGCGGAGCGCGCGCCCCGCACCCCGGGCCCCCGAGGCTCAGGAGCTGGGCCAGCACCCAGAGGGGCGCCAGCCGGCTCCCCGGGGCGCAGGGCATGGTGCAGCTCCAGGGGCACCGAGCCGCCAGGGGCGAGCGCTCAGCCGGAGGAGCGGCTCCCGGGGCCCCGCGGGGAGGCGCCGGCGCGCATGGCCCGGGGGTGGGGGCGAGCCGCCGGCTGCCCGGCCTCCCTCCGCCTGCCCGGCAGACAGGGGTGCTGCCGGCCCTCCGCCTCCGGGGACTGCGGGCGGCTGGCAGCGTCCGGGTGGCGCGGGGCTGCAGAGGCCGGCTGGGAGCGCGCAGCCCACCCCGTCCCCACCCGGTCCCCTCCCCTCTCCTCCCGTCCCGCCCGCCCGGCTCTGCGCATCTTCCTGCGGGACTCCCCCGCCCCGCCCGCCCCGCCCCGCCCCGAGCCCGCGGCCGGCCAAATAGGGGAGCCCCGGAGCCACCCTGGGCGGGACTCCGGAGGCTCCGGCCCCGGGCCAGCCCGTCCCGGCCAAGCGCAGGCGGGAGACCGGAGCGCAGAGGCCGCCCGCGCCCCGCGCCCCTCCCGCCCCCGGCTCAGTGCTGCCCCCTGCCCGGCTCCCTCCTCCCCATCCCCAACTTCTCCGGACACCCTCCTTCCGCCCACACTCCCCTGCAGGGCGAGCTGGGGCTCCGTGTGAAAGAGGGATAACTTTTCCCCGCTGCCAGTCCCACAGAGGGGCGGGCTGGCTTGGCCTTGGACCAGTCCCTTCCTGCTGCAGAGGGTGAGGGGACCTAGTGATGGGAGCTGCAGGTCTCTCTGGGCTTCGGGCCTCTGTTACCCACCCTTTTGCCCCCTCCAGCCTCCCAATACACCCCAGGGGAGCGGAGGGAGAGGAGGAGAGGGGGGAGGAGGAGAGGAAGGGAGGGGTAGGAGGAGTGGAGGGGGGGGGGAGCCCCAGGAGGTGTCCTCTCTCAGGGCACCCCATCAGGCTGCCCAGAGAAGGGTGGCCTTTCAGAGGTGACACTTCACATCGCTGAGAGAATGCCACACACCAGGGAGCTTGCCGGGCTTCCTGAGAACTCGCTGCCATAATCCAGCCAGGATTTTGCACCTCTGGACTCAACAGGCCCCTCACTCTGTTCCGGGGAATCTGGCCCCGTGTTGTTCTTCATGGCTCCCCGCCAGCCACATGCATCCAGCGAGAGGCTGGGGATGAGCTCATCCAACCAGAAAGGGACTGGTGACCTTGAATTTAGGAGGGGGCGGGGGTGGTGGGCAGGGGGAAGCAGCCAGCTCAAAGCAGTGGGCCAGGCGGGGTGGTGCTCACAGGCCTGGGAGGAGAGGCTGCAGAACTTCAGACCGGACACCTGCGCAGCCCGCACTTCCAGGGTGTGAGTTCCCATGGTGGCCACTACAGAGCCCCGTACACCTGGCAGCTTCGCACACCACAAATGTATGGCCTCACAGCTCCGGAGGTCAGACATCTGAGACAGGGTTCGCTGGGCTAACATCCAGGAGATGCTGCGGAGAATCCCTGTTCTCGCCTGTTCCATCTCCTGGAGGGGCTGCCTGCATTCCTTGGCGCATGGCCCCCTCCCCTCATTGTCAAAACCAGCGATGGCCTGTTGAGCCTTCTGTGTCACGTGACCCTGTCACTATCTCTTTTCCCTCCCTTTCCACTTATCAGGACCCCGTGGTTACCCTGGGCCATCAGGACCCACCAGGCTGATCTCCTGGCTGATGAAAAGCATCATCTTAAAGTGAGCTGATCCGCAACCTGAATTCCATCTGGGCCCTAATTCATAACCCAACGTGTAATAGGACATTTTATGTGCTGTCCTCGTGGGCCAGTCATAGGAAAGGCCAAGGCATCAGTAATGCACGATATCCAAACAGTGTGTGCCCAATAGGCTGCAATGAGAAGGACAGGGTCACCTGGTGAAATCCCGGCAGCCAGCGGTACCCAGCCTGAGTCTAGGAGCGAGGAAGCATCAGGTGAACGGAACCTGAGGGAGAGGCCTTCTCTCTTCAAAAGGCCACGAGAGTCAAAGGAAACCTGAAAAGCGATTCCAGATGAAAGGAGGCCGAAGGGATGGGACAACCGAAGGCAGCCGAGCTCTGAATCGGGTCCTTTGTCATGAAGGACATCGCTGGGACGATTCCTTTGAAACCTGAAAGGGGAGAGGAATTGCATGGCCCTGGGCTCCCTGCCAGTCCTGATGGCGAGGCTGCGGTTCAGCGGAGACCGCCCTTGTTGGTTAGAGAGACACGGATGGTGTTTGGAGCGGTGGGCCCTCAGGTTGACAGTTTACTCTCAAATGATTCGGAACACAACACGTTCTTTTGTTTCTTAACGTCACTGCAACTTTGCTGTAAGTTTGAGATGGTTTCTAAATTTTACAAAATCATTAAGTGTAACTGTCTGTTCTCATTCTTTAAATCATTGAACACTCGGCAGAGATGCCGTCCGAGTGGAAATGAGAGAAACGTGATGGGGGGAAGTCAGCAGACAGTGATGTGCTCCTGTCTGGTGGTCTCTGCGCTCCCGGGCTGACAGCTGTGGTGTTGCCATTTTCAGACAAGGCATGTGTTGGTCCTGGACCCCATAGCCACCAGGCCCTTTATCTTAGTCTGCCTTAGAGATCGAGTCTGAATTTAGGAAGTGTCTACTGCTGCCAAGGAGAGGAAGAAATTGGGGAGGAAATGCATCAGGGAAACTGAGTGCTACTGCCTTAGCAAGAAAGAGAACACTTCATCCACTCAGTCAGCACTGTTTATTGGCTTCTGTCTGCCTACTATGTCCACACATTAAGAAGGTAGCCATGAATAACACAGTCAAAATCTCCTTCCTCATGCTTGGACGTGCTCTAGCGTGGGTGTGGGAGACAGAGGAATAGAGAGAGACAAACAAGTAAACATACAATAGATAAGGTAGTGATAAGAACAGTGGAGAACAATTGGCTACAGACAGGGAGGATTGGGAGGGCAAGCTCCTGTTTTACATACGGGGATTACTTTTAAGGAGTGACTCACTAGCTCAAACCAGAAACAAGGGCAAGAAAGGTGTCCTGATTCCACCTACTCAGCTTCGTAGAAGGAAAGAAATGAAAGAGAGAATGCTAATTCCCCTCACTGGGTGATGCAGCTCAATCATTGTCCATGCCATCCGCCCTGACTGGAGATTCTCTCGTGGAAGGGTGGTCAGGAAGGGATGAAAGTGCCAAGGAATGTCCACAACCCAAGTTTACCCACTCTTCATGTCTCCTTAGCCGCTGGGGTCAGCCAGAGCCTGTGAGTGGCCGGCCGGGGTTCTCCTCCTACAGGAGCAGACCAGCTGAGGGCAGCGGTGCTGCCTCCGCCCTGATGGTTCTCTCTGCTCTTTGGTATCCCCCTGGGGTCGCTGAGAGCAGAACAGCAGCTGTGCCCCAGGAAACTTTGAAGGGAGCAAAGGAGATTCATTAAGGTAGCAAAAAGAATACCTCATAATAGTACCCGCTCTTCTTAGCACCACTGAGGTATAATAGGCATGCAATACACTGCACATCTTTAAAATTACAATTTTATGTGTTGACATATAGGCACTGTGACACCATTACAATTATATGTCTGTGCGTGTGTGTGTGTGTGTGTGTGTGTGTGTGTGTCCAGAACTTTCCTCCTGCTCCTACCACACCCCAATCACAGGTATCCCTGTCTTGCTTTCTGTCACAGAAGAGGCCGTAGCATTTCTAGAATGTTAGGTAGATGGCGTCATACAGCATGTACTCACTTTTGTCTGCCTCCTTTCCCTCAGCATCGTTATCTGATCCTGGATGCTTGTCCACCCTCTGCTCCTGTTCACTCTGCGTAGTGTTCTATTGAGTAGGCCCACCCCAGTTGGGCTATCCATTCACCTTGTCACTGATTTCCCCGTTGACCATGGGGACACGCAGCCTAAAGGCAGGCGGGAGTGTGACTGCTATAAGTTCACGTTAAGGATCTTCTCTCGCAACCGAGAAGCAGGGCCCCTGTGCCCCAGCAAGTGCATGTCAGTGGATGGCGTGTGTTTCCCTTCAACACCGAGTAACTTTAAAACATCCACATCAAACTAACTTTAAAAACGGCTCTGCCGCTCACCCTGGATGAAGATAAAGCTCTCTTTATGGTTTTGCAGAGCCTCAACAGGCGTCCAGGCGGCTGGGTTATCGGGAGAAGGAGGCGAGCGGCCTTTTGATTCCTCAGCACAAGGAGCGCCAGGCTTTGGCAGCCCTTTCCTGGGACCAGAGCACAGGGCCGGGCGGGAGGCCTTTGCTAACCCTCACCCACCTGGGCCACCCTACCCAACGCTGCCCCAGGACGGCCTCCTGTGCTGCTTCATAGCCCCTCCCCCGCAGTATTACAGATGACATCCCAACACACATGTTAGCTACCTCTTGGGCCCTCCTGCTTGCTCTTCACCAGGTCTCCCTGTAGAGGGCACCTGGGAAGGCACATGGGCATTTCTTATAATTGTTGCCAGCTGAGACGGAGAAGATTGGCAGAGCCACATCTAGTATACACATTTCCCCAAGATGGCGGAAAGTGTAAGCAGCTTGGCCTTCATATCAGCCCAGGTGTCGGCAGGGGCAGGACTAGATATGTAAATCCAGGCATGATAGAGCCTATTTAAGAATGCAAATAAGTTGGTGATAACTTCCTGGTATTGGGATATAAAATAAATGCACTGGGAGGGGGAGTCGTCATTGTCTTGCCTCTCCATCAGAGAGGATGATGGCCCACCCAGCTCCCAGCTTTAAATCTATTTCTGTGACTTCTTTCTTTCTACTATTTCTCAATCCCTGGCTGCCTCCACTTAGAACCGGTTCGTTCATCTCTCTTTCCATGCAGGATGTGGAAAAGAGAGACCTCCGCCATGTTTGGCCCCCACCGAATCAGGCCCCTGCATCTCCTGACAGGCCTCCCAGAGCCAAGCGCTGCACTGGAGCAGCTCCCTGCTCCCTGCCGTAAGGCAGTGGCCGTGATCAAACCCAGGTGTCCTGACTCACCTTCCAAAGATGTGTGTTGGGCAGGGCGGGGTGAGGATGAGAGAGGGGGATTTATATATAGTGGTGGA